ACCTCCCACAACACTACGGTATCACTTTCACGCTTATTGCTTTTGCATTCTATAATGGTATCCTGTTCGATCGATGTGGGGCATATCATTGTTCAGCAAGTTCACGACTATTTGGGTAAAAAGACAAGTGCTTTGGTGTTTTCTAAATTAATTACCGCTTGATGTCGTAAGAAAAAGGTTGAGGAAAATGCCTTTGATGAAATTTTACCTGGATTATCGGGCATCACTAGGGCTAGACTTCCACTATTGTTGGGAATTGAAAATCCCAAGTCTAACGACCCTGTTCATGAGCAATCTGCAGGTGCTACAGAATCGAATGCCGAAGCAAGGTTACTTGCTCTCGAGGAAGCTATGACGCAGACTCAAGCTCAAATGCATGCTTTACACGGTGACATCCGTAACTTCTTTGGATATGTGAAGCATAGAGATGCTGTGGTGGAATCATTCTTTCAAGAAATCATTCCCCACGGACAACGGAATTTTCCTGGATTCCCAGACGAAATTCTGCCGGCATTCAATGCCGAGGCATCTCCAGAGCCTGAGCACGATGCACCTGATCCTCCTGCTGATGACCCTACTCCTGATACACACCGGTCCAAGACTCCTGAATATCCGCCCACTGTCCCTGTCGAAGAAACACCCAGCCCCGTCCCAGCACCCAATCCTTCTCATGCACAACGTAGTGGTCGCCGCACCAAGACCACGGCTGGACGCATTACGCACTATTACTCCACTTCTTCCGAGTCCAGCCCAGCACCTATCCGAAAGCGCACCCGACGAGGAGCTGCTAGCACCTCCAAAGCACCACCATCACGTAAACATTGAGGTACCTCTCTTGCATCCACTTTCATTTAGTTGCATTTCATTGCATAACATATAGTTTAGTTAGTTTAGTTTTCTTTAAAGCATTGAGGACAATGCTTCCCTTAAGTTTGGGGGAGGTATTATTCTTGGTAGGTCATATGCATGATAGCATTAGCATAGTATTATGCCATGGCATCAGTAAATGGTAGGACAGTTAGATAAAATGTTTTGAGGATACACGATGATGATAATTTTGTTAGGCTAGAATCTGAATGTAAATGACTGTTGAGAATGATAGAACTCACTCTAGGGCTTGATGCTTGGTGAAAAATATTTACACGATTTGTATGTTCTCTATACTTAGAAAATTTAGGAAATTTTTATGAAGGAACTTTAGTTAGCCTTGGCATTGACATATAGTATGTTGTTTAAAAGAAAAAACAAACTCCCTTAGAAATGAAACTGTGAATAAATGCTTAAGCATAGCTGTAGAGGGACACTCCTCTTTGCAGTAGCATTTCCTGGAACTTTCTTTAATAAATGGAAGCCTTGTGCATATGAGTGAATGAAAGATGTCACAGGATGACTCTACTTAACTAGCTCGGGGATGGAATGTATGCTCCATTTAATCTAGAGTGTGGGAGAGTAGGTGTGATGAGCTGACTCCCTTCGTAACAGTTTAAAAAAAATCAAAGAAAATTGAGTAAAAATGTGCTTAATGATAAGTAAATGCCTTGACAAAAACTAGGGGACTTGATTAGAAATTGTCTAAATTCGCTAAGTATATATTGGATACAATCACGCACACACACTACCACAAAGGATTTTGACCTAGGGAAAAGTACTTGAATTCTTGATAAGTCTAGCATGTTGAAGCCTATCGTTCTGAGGGTTGAAATTCAATTTTGTCCTGCTGTTTTACTATCGAACTTTGCCATGACATTATACTTATGTAACTGCTATCCATTGCTTGAGGACAAGCAATAACTTAAGTTTAGGGGTGTGTTAACTTCCTAAAAAGGCTACTTTTAAAGCCTTTTTTCACTTAAGTTATTGTTTGTTTAAAAGCTCATTTTAGTCATTTTAGGATCATGTAGTTGCATATAGTTGCATTTGTGGTGGTTGTGCTATTTTATTTCTTAATGATGCTGTTTGAGGGAAAGGTGCAGTTTGTCTATGGTGTGCAGGGAATAGCAAGGAAAAGGATTCTTTGGGAAGTAATGCCGCGGCATCACACATTGCTAAAGCAGATTGAAATGCCTTGGCATTTCTGGCGCAGAAAAAGACAAAAAGATATTTCTGCATGAGGACAGCTGGCACTGGACAACTGTCCCTGCACGTGGAGGACTGCTGTAACCGCCTGCCAGAGCTACCAATGGACCACTGCCACTTGGAGGATAAGGTTCATTCACAAAATGTGATTCTAGGGGTATGAGGGGTATTTCGCACCCAACAAACTCATCATTACCCCTAGATATTTTATTTATTATATATGACACCTCATGGGGGAGAAAAAACAAAGAGAGTGAGCACACGCATAGAGCAGAAAAATTCAGATTTTTTTTTCTCTTTTTCCTTTCTTTTTCCTTGGAATATTCCTCCATTGATAAAGCTCCAAGGAGTGGCAAGCTAGGCGCCGAAAGGAGCTAGCGAGCTAGGTGGTTCGTGGTGACCGAGAGGAGACCTCCGGTGGCGCGTCGAAGGCTTCTTCTCACTTCCCTTTTTGCTGCTATTTCTTTATATTATTTTGTGGGTTGTTGGAACGAATTTTCATGACTTTGTGTTTGGATATTTCGAACCCCACCATGAACTAACTTATTTGGTGGTGGTTGGTTGAATGGTTGTTTAAACTTTATTTTTAATGGTATATTTAAGTTTATTTTGGTTCTTTATTTGCTTTGCTTATGAATGCTTCACCATCTAGGTTTGTAAGAGGCATGGAAATGTCCATCTCTTAGATGAATGTTATGTATTCGGAAGAATCCTAAACTAAAAATACATGTAAGTATTCGGAAGAAATGCAAGATAAGATCCTCATAAGCAATGGGTTATGGTATTTTCAAGGGGCTTTGAACCGGCCTAGGAATATTATAACTTAATCCCTTAGATCTCGGAAGAGACTAGGTTAGGATTTCAACGACTAAAAAGGGTGTCTTCATCAATAGGGTAGGTTGTCCAACATCGTTGAGTGAGAGCAGATGCCTTGGCATCCTATTCTGTTAGGTTCTTTTGAGTACCTTAGGAAAGCCCTGTCGAGTAAGTAAAGACAAGATAGCTTAAATATACTTGAGAAATAAGTTTAGCAACCTTAGACCAATCCTTACCATTCATTTCATTGGAAGCTTGTCACGTGAGGATTATTTTCTTCTTATTTTATTTATCTTTTTATTTACTGTTTTTATCATTTCTCATTGCCTTGACATTTCACCATACTCAATATTAAACATCCATCATTGCCACTGCATTTCCATTTGCTACACCATCACACCATCAATCCGCATCCACCAGCATACATATATCCATTGCCGTGACATTTGTATATATCAAGACTAACTATACTTAGATAGAATATTGCATTGCTTTGGTTAGACTTTTGTGATTTCACCCAATCCCTGTGGAGACGATACTCACTCATCATTATATTACTTGAGCGATTGTGTATACTTGCACATTATTTGCGTATATTTTATAGTACTCACAACACGCAACAGGCACACTGGTGGATGGACGACCAATCTGAATGGTGACCATAAGAGAATGATGAGTCGACCAACATAGTTCAATTTCAGGTCGATCAGACGGTAAACGACGGAGATTGAAGGATAAAGAAGTTGAAGAGTCTATCATCAATTTGGGGAGATATAGGCATTTTTTCGGTGAAGTGAAGGTCGAAATCACGTTCAGGGGTTGAAAAGGTGCAAACTGGAAAGTTTAGACTTCATTGGCCAATGGATGCGATAGCTGGCGAATGTAGGCATGGCAGTCAATGAGCACATCCGTTAAGTTCTTAACGGCGGTGTACTAAAGTGAAATAAAAACTAAACATTATATGTGATTTTTAAAAAATATTGAAAGTTTAGATACTAAAACAAACCATAACTAATAGTTTAGGTACTAAACGAATAATTTACCCTACAATTAATAACGATGTTAATAAACTTAAGTTATATTTCGATTTTTAAAGAAGATTATTTAAAATAAATTTTAATAAGAAGGCTTAAGGTAACATTTGCTCTTGTAGTAGACCTAAATTTATTTATTTTAAATATTTTCAACTAATTATTCTTTTAATCACTTAGGTAAATTGATTATGCTTAGTAAGAATATATTTTACTTATTAATATTAAAAAAATTTAGATATTGTCGAATGGACTTAATTAAATTAATTAGTGGTTGATGAAATTAAAATTTAATTGGACATATATATTCAAATTTAATAGAATTCAATTAATAATATAATCAATTATATTTTAATTTTTAAATCAAATAAATATAAATTAAATTCTTAATAATAAAGATAAAATACCAAATCTTACAAGTTCAAAGAGAAAAGAGACCGAAAGCATAATTAAATCATTTTCGAAAATGCACTCTCGTTTTCTTTATTCGTAAAATAACCTCTTGAGTTTCTCTTACTTTTGGATTTAAGCGGATTAGTCCCTCAAGAAAGATCAATTCAGTCCTAAAAGTCTTAATTATGGTGAAAAGTTAATGTTGTGATTAATCCCTTATGTTATTCTTTATACCTTGACCCGTTTGTTAATTTCCGTTAGTTTGATGAATTATTATAATATTTTGATCATCGAACTGTTAATTTTTGTTAGTTTCGATGACATGATATGTTAAAAAAGATTAAATTTTAATTTGACCCTTAAACTATTGCTAAAACACTAATTAAGTCATTGGTTTTTGAACTTTAATCGATAAGGTTCAAATAATTTAATCAGATTTTTTGTTTTAGTGATGGAATTCTCACAATTCTCACATGTATTTTGCGGCTGAACAGCCATTTGTTACTGAGACTGAATAGATTTTAAATTTACATTCATGACAAGTGCATGTGCATTGTAAATACAACAATCAGATTGCACAAAGAATTGAAGTAGTTTTGTAATAATGTAAGTGAATTCTTCTACTACATAAATGTATGCATATGCATATAATATTTCCTGAAACAATTACAGGGAAATGATTTACAATTACAGGGAAGAGAAGATTTTTGTAATTTAATCTCACTTACAGTGGTAATATCGGCATTAGCAGCCGGTCACGGTCACGGCCACGGAAATGCTTTGGCTGCCGTGGTTGGCTGCTTACTCTTCTTCAAAGGTTGTTTTGTTTGCGTGAGATGAGCCATAAGGCTGCATTCTTCCAACTGCTCGATAACCAAAGATATTGTCAAAGATAGATATAATAGAGATGACAAAGTGAAATATCCGAAAATAGAAACAAAACTTTGCACTTGCATATCCATTTGATAAGGATGCCAAGGGTTGGTCACTTTTATACCTATCGAATCGAAAAGGGACTAGTGCATAATTGAAGAAAGGATGGTCCCGTTTACAGACAGCATTCATCGGATCAAATCGGTTCAAAATTTATTTCAGGTTAATGCGTACTCACTTGCATAGCTGCCGTTGAAGACAACAGCGCTTCGCATTGGTCGAGCATGTTTTTCTCTTGTGCACCAATTGCAGCAAGCTCAGAAACCCTATAGTTTACCCCTTCCACCTATATCATATAAAATATTGAGAATGGTCAAGCATCTGGAATTAAATTCAAATATAAAAAGACATCAACAATAAAAGCGCAAACTAATAATATCAAAATCCGAGTTTTCACACTGACCAGCAGTGGATCAAAGCGAAAGTTGTAAATGTGAAATATTGAGTCATTAGCAGACATATGCTATACATCATCAGATATAGATAATCCAAGATGAAATTGAGAGTCTCGACACCTGTAAAATAAACAGAAATAAACCTTCTCTACCTGTACCAAAATTGAATTTTCTAGGGAAGTATACTAGTAAGCATCTTAAATTTCATTATCAAATGATGGAAAACATCAAAGCAATCTATGACTAAGCAAAAGGAGCAGGAACTGAGATTCAGAGTCACTATGACATTGTTGATAACGAACCACAAATTGTAGTGGGATTAAAGGTAACATTCCGCTTACAGTGTGAGCATTTATGTCAAAATAAAAGTGAAATGGTGGCTTGTTAAGATAAATACCTTTGGGAGTAAAGAACAAATGGAGGATCCCATAGCCTGCATCACGTCGACAGCAGAGCAAATAGCAGCTTTCAATGATTCAATATCTGCCTGGTGAGTACAAAGTCCAGTAACGATGTCAAGATCTCTCTTTTCGGACATCAGTCCATGGTATTTGTCTAAACTAACTTACCTTTGCCCCACCAGTTATGGGAATAAGGAGGGTGCTTGCCTCTAGATCTTCTTCTGCTCCAGCTAAGGAACTTATATGATCTCTCTCAAGTAATGCCCAGTTATCGAGGTATGCCATCTGCATGAATCATGTAAAAACATGTAATTAGATAATGGAAATTCTATGGGCTGACAAAAGAAGCCTACAAATGGGTATTCAAAAGCATGACTGAAAGTTGAATATAATTTTGGGTAAACAGGCATGTCTGGTTGTCAAAGGAACCAGATGCAGACTAGTCATCTGGTGTTCTTTTATACCCTCCATGATTACGCGTGATAGTTCCCTGCTTGCTTCTCCTGTACTTTTAAGTTCTAAGTTTATAGCTATAGTAATCGAATATTTGAATCTAATGAAGTTCCTATCACCAACTCAGATGGGAAGGTTCAAACATGATTTGAGCCAATCAAAATGGAATTATTTGTCAGGAATAAACAACAGGTCTTTCTTCTGATATGACCAATTATGGATAGGACCCGAATGTATTAAACCCTCTAAGTCCTAAAATTCTGAAGTTTGGGGCAAAGCATACTGCAGAATGAACCTAGTCATGTCTTTTCACATAACTGTTAGATTTGACCTTCTTCATTCGGTTAGAAGGTTAGCACAACTAGAAGATTATTAATTACAATCCTGCAAGACCTCTAAATTCACTTAATAAGCATCTCATAAAATTTATTGGCTGGTGAAGGCTCTCTGTGAATAGCCTGGATTATGGCTTACTGTTTTAAGCAAGATGATTATTGGAATATTACATCTAAACCCCATTTCAGCTGGACTCTTAGGAAACTTATCAAAACGAGAGAACAGGCTGGCTGTTTGTTTACTGCTACCACTAACTGGTCTCAAGTTAAGGGTGGTTGGATTTGGGACAGAATTAGAGTAAGGAATGACAAAGTGGTTTGGCATCGACTTATATGGTTCCCTGCACACATACCTAAGTATTCTTTGATTGCTTGGATGGCTATTCTCGACAGATTGCCAACCAAGGAGAGATTAGCTCGTTTTGCAGTGGTGACTGATACTCGATGTGGGTTATGTGGGGCTGATTTAGAGTCGAGAAGTCATCTCTTCTCGGATTGTGTTACTCGGGGAGTTTGGGATGCTATCTTACTAAGTTGTGGATTGCAGCAGCAAAGCCTGAGCTGGGATGATCGGCTGTGCTGGTTGAATAGAAGTTTAAAAGGAAAGTCTCTGCTAGTTCATATTCTCAAATTAGCATGGACAGGGTACATTTACTTCATTTGGGAGGAGAGTAATCGAAGAATTTTTGGAGGTTTATCTCGCCCGTATGCTGCCATTGTAAATGCTATCAAAGAGGCAGTTTGAATTAAACTGTATTATTAGCAGGTTGGATACTGTAAATAGTCAATTATGTACTGATTGGGGGCTTGTATAGCTGGTTTGTTATTTTGTAGCAGCTTGCTGACAATGACTGATTATCCAAAAAAAAAAAGAGAAGCATGGAGGCTCATATCAATGCTTCCAAAATAAAGTAGCTTCCCTACTGATCAAGATGTTTCCAAAAGCCATGTGAGTGGATACATATTCCATTGATAATAAATTCAGACCTACAGTGGACCAAGGCGTAGCTTAGTGTTATTCAACTTTCCCCTAAAAGGAAGATTAAAGTTTGAATCCTCTTCCCTAAGATGTTCATAAACTATTCCTATAATGTGAAAAATATAACGGTGATTCTAGCATCAAGAATGTAGAGTAAAAGTTTCCTATAGATGAACAATATTGCAGAGAGAGGCATTACTTGATGATTCAAAAGAGAGTCCAGCTTGAGCTCTAACTTCAACCATTGGAGATTGATCTTTTCCTTGATCAAAGCGTTGCAGAGATCCAAAGTATCATTCCATACATTGTACAAAGTTTCCTGATATAACAGATCATAACTTTATTTGATAATAGATTTAATATGTTATGTTAAGATGAAATTCACAATCTATGCCATATCAAAAGCTCTAAGTAAGCCCATCATATGCATGTGACACTGTAATGAAGTTCTTCATAGTAGGAAAAAGATAGTTGTGGAACACGATGCAAATATGCAAACAACCCAGTTTTTTATATTGAAATTAAAGAACTGCATCACAGAAATAAAACTTTCCCACTCAAAATCATCGAAGGTTATCTCCACGAAATACATGGATAATATTTGCCGACACATATTTGTTCCCTAAGAGAAGAAACTTACCTCTGAATTTACTTTCTGAATATCAAATACAGCTTCTGCATGGGCATTAGCAAAACGCCACTGCAGATAGCGATTGTAAAGAAGACGCAGTTGATGAGCATCCTCCATTGAGTTGACACCTTTTCTTCCCTTCTTACAATCTGTGACAAAACTGAGAACTGACGTTGAGCTATGGGATTGACTCGATAAGGTGGATGTCCTCATCCGAGTAGGACTGACTACCCTTGGAGTTGGATTGACACCTCTTGGAGTTGGACTGACACCTCTTGAAGTTGAACTAAAAACTGAAGTTGAGCTATGGAACTGACTTGATGAGGTGGATGTTCTCATCCGAGTAGGACTGACTACCTTTGGAGTTGGACTGACACCTCTTGGAGTTGGACTGACACCTCTTGAATTTGAACCGAGAACTGAAGATGAGCTATGGGATCGACTATGGGTTTTTCTTGATGAGGTGGATGTCCTCATCCGGGTTGGACTAAGTACTCTTGGAGCTGAGCTGAGGACTGAAGTTGAGCTATGGGATTGACTTGATGAGGATGTCCTCACCCGAATTGGACTAACTACTCTTGGAGTTGAACTGAGAATTGAAGTTGAGACATGGGATTGACAGGATGAGGCGGATATTGAGCTTTGGGATTGCTTGGATGAGGCGGATGTTGAGCTTTGGGATTGACTAGATGAGGTCGATGTCCTCATTTGAGGTGGACTAACAAACCTTGTAGTTGAACTATAGGATTGACTTTCTGAGGTGGATGTCTTCATCTGAGTAGGACTGACTACTATTGGAGTTGAACTGAGAATTGAAGTTGAGCTACGGAATTGACTGAATGAGTTAGATGTTGAGCTATGGGATTGATTGGATGAGGTGGATGTCCTCATTCGAGTTGGGCTGACAACCCTTGCAGTTGAATTGATAACTGATGTTGAGCTATAGGATAGACTCGATGTGGTGGATGTCCCACTCGTAGTTGGACTGAGAACTGGAGTTGAGCTATGGGATTGACTTGATGAGGTGGATGTCCTCATCCGAGTTGGACTGACTACCCTTGGAGTTGGACTGAGAACCGGAGTCGAGCTATGAGATTGACTTGATGAGGTAGAAGTCCTCATCCGAGTTGGACTGACTCCCCTTGAAGTATGATTGGCTCCTCTTGCGGTTGGAGTTGGACTGATTGAAGTATGACTGGATCCTCTTACTGTTGGAGTTGGACTGACTCCCCTTGAAGTATGACTGGCTCCTCTTGCAGTTGGAGTGGAAGGTCTTGGTAGATGTGGACTGACTCCCCTAGAAACAGAGGTCTTACGAGGTGACTGAGATTGTGATCCTGAAGTTGTTAATGGCGTTTTGTCCAATGAACTAGGAGAAAGGATGCTGGCAGGAAAAGATGCCCGCCGAGGCTTATCATCAATTGAAGTTGCCGCAAACCCTACTCGACCAATGTCATCAATTGATAACAGCCTTCCAGCATCATTAGAAGATTTCAGCAGCGGTTTAGCTGAACTATCAGACACTGGCATTCTCTTCAGTGAAGATAATTCTAGATTTGGTGTGGATAAATTTTTTACAATTTTACACCCCTGGTCCACACTTTTGTTCGGTGAATTGGAAGATAATTTCCCACCAATTCTACTAGGCCATCGATGATGGTCTATCAATCGACTAGGCAAACCATCAACAGGTTTTGCATTTTCAGACTGATCAGGTGCATTTTCCCCTTCAAGATGGCTTCTCTTTCTCTCTGGGCTAGGCTTCCTTGATAAAGTAGAGGTCTCTGATTGTTTTATATGAGCCACATTTGAAGAAGGTCTCAAAGTGCGATCCAAGGAAACATTACTAACCGGCTTTTCTTTTTCCTTTTTGCTAACAGGAGAAAGAGTACCAGACTGAAACGGAACACTAAGATTTCTCATGGTAGAAGGCCATAAACTATCTGGTATACGTCCAGTTGATAGCCTTCTAGAGGATATTGGCGCAGCTGTTGATGAATCATTAACTGGAGTAGAGGTAATTTGAAGTGGAGGTGGTGTTGCGGGACGTTTCCTCTCAGCCGATACAGCTCTCTTTTGCACCCCTGGGGAAGGTGTAGGGGTTGTTCTACTTGGGGTTGGAGATGGACAACGCCTAGGACCAGAAGGTGTTGATGGAGTGGGTGATTTATGCCTCGAACTAACTTCCCTAGTTCGAGAATGTCTGGTGTTGAGTGGCCCGTTGTTCTTTTCAGCAGAAACAAGGGGTGGTCTTGTGGGATCCGCAGCAGCAAGCTTGTGTAATCGTTGCTCTGGTTTGCATACATCCATCCGAACTCTCCAAACAAAACCACATTGATGGGATTTTCCAAAGAAAAAACAAACCTACACTTAGAAGCCTGGCTTTTATATGAATCCCACATGTATATAGAATAACACCAGCTGTTCTAAAAGAAGGTACTTTTCCCTGCAAAAAATCTGCCACAAATACACAGACCAAAAGTTAGATGCTTACTTACATAATGGCAGAAATGAATAATTATAAACACCATAGTGGGTTAAAAAAAGGCTAAAGGAAATAAATCTTTACAGATTATCACATCTTACCGATGAAAAATCAGAGAACTGCAAGAAATTAACTGAGATGAGTATGTTCATTTATCAAGAAAAGCCCAAATTCAAGCAGATCAAATCAAACAACAACAATGAGGCTGACAGCATCAAGTACAATGGGGGATTCTTTAAAATTCCTGTACAGTTCTATCCAACCAGTACATCATACTGCAAATGCAAAGTACTAAGGGATCCCCCATGGAAATGAGAAACTATCCTGTGAAGACCGTACAAGTTATTGTTCCTGGTGGTGAAGATGTAGGATAAGAAGACAGCTAGAATAAAGGTGAGTTGGATAAGTGAGAGAGGGAGAGAGAGAGAGAGAGAAGGTTTTTTCTGTTGTGCTTCTCACGGGAATGCCATGGTCGGCAGGGAAGGGGAGAGAAGAAAACAATTTCACTGGCAAAAACAAATACACAGCTCAACTTTGACTTCTTTCCTTCCTTCAACACATTCTCTTTTGCTTTCTATCTTGAATTAGAAAATGACCCCAACAAAGAAATGCAGCTAAAAATTTTAGAAAAAGAAAAATATTTTCTTTCCATGAAAAATAAAATTCAATTACATGGGAGTTTCACTTTGGATCACATGTTTACCATATAACAATTAAAAATTTAAAATACAATTAAATCATAATTATGTAAGTTTGTCGGTTTTATATTTGCTAAGAAAAGCAAGAAAAAAAATGAAGTTTTGCAGTGCTAATTTCTTTGAAAACATGGGAAGGGACATAAGGATAAAACATAACAGAAATTCTAAAATGACCCTTTTTTTTAATTAAACAATTTCTGAATTGACCATTTCCCCCCAGATTAAATAGAAGGAAACCAGAGTAACGAGGTAAAACATTTAAATTTTGATTGAAATTGCAATAATTAAGATGGGATTTTTTTCAATGAAAACTTTCAAAGAATTCCGATCATAACAGTGTCTCCATCAAAGACAGATTTATGTCGCCAAAATTGAAGAAAAAAAATTAAAATAACAAAACTTCATGTAAATCTCTCTGCAAGAAAGTTGCAGAGATTGTACATTGAATCCAACTGCTAAAAATAGCAACAAACTGGATTACTTCAAACTAATCTAATCTAGTGTTTTAAAAAAAAATTGCTTCCTTTTGCTCTTTATTTATCATAATTCGGTGATCTACGGAAAACGAACAAAACAAAGCATAAAGCTGAAAATTAATTTCGACATTTATGATATATCTCATAATAAAGAAAAAAGAAGAAAGAATACTGATTTTTTTAAAAAGAAGAAGAAAAAAAATCTCACCTTCATGGATCTCAACATTGTTCCAAATAGTTCAATCACAAAAAAAAAACTTATACTATTTGAATTCAAGATAAAATTTGAAATCAATAGGGTGATTGCCTGATAAGAAAGGCCAGATCGCCGGAGACTGGTCAGACGCAAGAGATGGACACCGATTTTTTTTTCTTTTTCTAAGAGAAATTTTTATTGGGAGATATAATTTCGAGGAAGGGATGAAGAAATGAAGAGAAAAGAAATTTAAATGGAAAAGAAAACGGTTTTTCAGTTGAGAGGGACTAAGAATGACGTCGTTTTCGCGCCACCTCTTATGTTGTGATTTTTAGAGCTTCCATTCTCACAACTTCCGAGATGAAGACAACTTCTCTTATTTTGATGTACTTCATACAAAAATAAATATTTAAATTATATATTCAATTAATTTATGATGTCTAAAAATATATATTTAAATTATATCTTAAATTAATTTTTGATGTTTAAAAAGTTTTTCCTTTAAAAAATATTTAATGTTTTTAATATTATATTTTTAAGTTTCTGGATCGTAATTAGGTTTAATCGTTATCTGGCACTTGATATTTTTTTAGAATTTTAAAAAAATTATTTAAACACACACTTAATATTATAATTTAAAACGAAAACTCAAAATTTATTTTTTCCACTGTCGATCAGTCACCTTTAGTCTATAATTGTCACCGTTAACACTATCAGAATTGTTTTATCGTCGCGATCAAAATCCAATTCTCCACTCACCACGAAACTCTGTAGATCGTCGTGAAAAATACCGCGAAAGGTCTTCGAATTTTGAGATTTTCCTTTTCTGTTTTATGACGATTACGACGAATCTAGTTGTTCGTACGTTATACAATCGTCACCATTGAGTTCCTCGTTCTGCTTCAATTCAAAACTCAACCGATTGTGACCCTTAACTGTCGGAAGTGGAGGGATGGGAGGGAGAGGTTGATCTTTTAATTTTTTTTTATATCAAATCTCTTTTAAGATCTTCATTGTATTAATATATCAAAATCGATTAAATCCAACTCTTAGATCATAAAAGAAATTTGACACATGATAAAATTATACTTTGATCAACTCAAATGATAAAATTTTAATTTAATCTTAAAAACCATAATATTATAAATTAATATAATAATAAAATTATATTTTAATTCTAATAAAATTTGTAATAATTTAATTTTAATCCCAAAATTGTTATTATTTTCTTTTTCCGAATTCGGTACCTCTATAACCGCATTGCATCGATATCACACGTAAAGGATGAATGTCTCCTTGAGGGGCATCATCATGTGGCACATGGAGATGAGTCCCTTTTCCCCTTACAAGTTGAACTTTCACATTTTGGACCACACCATTCGGCTGCAACCATTTTCTTAATTATTTTTCCTAATAAGTTCATGCATTTTCTTTTAGTGACAAATGGTTCCAAATTTGGACCTTTACCTGTCGAGTATGGTTAAAGATTTCGAGGCACCAAGTTATTAGCAGAGTTTGCATGTGGTGTGACGATCCTTTCGTATTGTCTCATTAGTTGACATGTAGCTTTCCCTTGCTTTGGCCCTTCTATTATTCTTGTTCTTATTTCATTTTTCTTTATGTATAAATAGCATAAATTATTGGACAAATTTTATTAATAACCACTTAATTATGAGAGAACTTAATTTACTTATTGATTTTATTATTTTATTAATCAATTCCTTTAATTATTTAAATGATACCAATTACGTTATATTTCATTACCATTTAAAAGAACTGATGTAATAGTTGATGAAATTAATATAATTACATATTATATTAATTTAAATTACATTTAATAAATATTTTTTTCTAATTAGATGATGACACATATAAACTTCTACGTCAAATGCTAATGATAAATAATTTAACTAACATCATTTAAATAATGGGTAAAGAATATAAATGACCCCTCGACTATAGGGTATTGTTTTATTGAGTCTCTCGACTATAATACCATATAGTTGGGGTCCATCTATGTACTTTACCCCTAAATAATTAAGTGATTTAATAAAAACTTAATATAAATATCCGCATAATTTTATGAGTGTACTTTACCCTAAATTATATCATCAATGTATACATGTGGTGCCAATTAACATGTGAGCATGGGGTGACAATTTTGTTTCTTATGATTTCAGATAAAGCAAACTTATAAGATAATGAGTGTATGTTTACATTATGAGGGAAAAAACAAGTATAGATTAACAACTATTTTATAATGAATTTCAATATTTATTTAATTATGGCTTTCATGTCACACATGACAATTATAAGGCATAAAGGAACTTGTAAATATAAAATTAACAAAAAAATGAAATGATCAAAGAAGTTGTCCGGATTAGGGCTGCAAATGAGGCGCGACAGATTGCGAGCTATTCGAAATTGACTCGATCAAGGCTCGATAAATACTCGGATCGGATGGACTCGAATCGAGCTCGAGCTCGAGCTCGACTCGAGTTCTTAACGAGCCGAAACGAGCTACTTAATATTCGACTCAAAAAACTCGCGAGCAGCTCGAAAATATAATATATTAAGATTTTATTTTTTTAAAAAAAATAAATTATTAATATTATTAATATTTATATTTATGTATTGATTTTTTTTAAAATACATTCAGATTTTCATGTATTTAAGGTTCGAGTTCGAGTTTGAGGCTTCAATCGAGTTAAGTTTAAGATTTTTTTTTATTTCGAGCTGTTCATGAGCTTCAGTTCAGAATTTCGAGTTCGAGTCTAGCTTAAAATTAGTGTTCGAGTCGAGTCAAGCTTCATTTCAGAGTTTTCGAGTCGAGTCGAACTCAGTAATACTCGAACTCGACTCAGATCGTTTATTAAATGTATTTGGCATAGGATACCAGGCCAACCTAAATGTACTTTAATATTCTAACCAATGAAAAATAAATAAATAAAATAATATATTTTTTACTAGGTTAATTAAATAATAATGAATTATAGGATTCCCATTAGGAGAAGACAAAGAAACTAGAAAACAGAGAATGTCTTGGGTTAGTTTAGCAGCTACAGACCTCTATTTGATCTTCCATGGCCAATGTGTTGGGTTAAAATGGAGCTGTGAAAACAAGAAGTGCAACAGGTCCTTTCAAGTACCTCACCACTCCGGCACTCTGAGCCTTACCCGGAACCGAATCTACGTCGCCGTGAAAAATTAATTCGTTTTGCCACGGAGAAACCGGTATACATGCCATCGACTGCTGCACTTACAATCCCACCGGCGTAACCTGCTCCTTCACCAACCGGGTAGAGTCCTCTTAGTGACAAGCTCTAGTGTCCTCTTAGTGAATACATAAATGATCCTTCATTGTATGATACTACTTTATTAAGTCTCTCAATTATTAAAAGTTATAATGATTCTTCAATTATAAAATATTATTTTATTGAGTCCTTCGACTATTAAAAATTATAAAATGATCACCTGACTATTCATTATGTTTCAAAGTCATTATTTTTTGTTAAAAATTGACAATATTTTAAGTTGAATGTTAACTTGATGATTGTGATAGGATAAAATATGATCCTAAAAACCTCAAACAATTATCATATTTCAACCATCACGATGACGTCTACCTCAGATGACCACTAATTTTTTAAAGAAAAAGTATGAGTTTGGAATATAATGAATAATTGGTGACTATTTTATAATTTTTAATAATTGACTCTATGGTTATAAGATCATTTTATAATTTTTAATTATCGAATGACTTAATAAAATAATACTCTATAATTATGAGACTATTTATATACTTCACCATTTTAATAAATTGTTTATTTCGGTAAATTAGCGTCCAACACGACGGCCCAAGAAGGAAAAGGAAAGTACAAGCTCCTATTCGTTACAATTTCTCCTTGTTCTCGATCAGCGTATTAACTTTCATATAAACTACTGCTAAACTACCCAATATTCAAACGCCAATGTTACGCGCCTTACATCCACGCGCCTACCACCCAAATACCCTCATTTACATCCGCTTACTTCCCCTTCCACGTCTCTACAGCAAAGACGAAACAAATCATTGTTTGAATATTACTGAATCAAACGTTTTTTTTTATTACAAATTTTGGAATCAAAACTCTCTTTCACCGGAAAAATTTCAATGGGCAACTCCTCGTCGATGCTGACTCAGTACGATATCGAAGAAGTACAGCAACACTGTAACAACTCGTGTAAATGACTCACTCTCGCAGCCATTTTGCTTAGATTTACTTTTCGAAGTTTGATCTTGTTGCGACTTACTCGTTTCATAGCCTTTGATTGTGTATTGTGTGTGTGTTTTTCTGGTTGATCTGCAGTTTCGCAGCAGGAGATCGTTTCTCTGTACAAGAGATTCTGCCAGCTGGATCGAAAAGGCGGCGGTTTCGTCTCCTCCGAGGAGTTCTTGTCCGTGCCTGAGTTTGCTGTTAATCCTCTCTCTCAGGTTTTTGCTTTTCTTTTCTTTTTTAAAAAGAAACCAATTTGTTCATTTATTTTCTTTATAGTGTGAGTTGTTAGTGTGCTTTTATGGTGAAATTATGTTTTTGGAAAATTATGCAGAGATTGTTAAGGATGGTAGATGGATTGAATTTCAAGGAATTCGTAGCGTTTTTGTCTGCATTTAGTCCTCGTGCTACTTTGCAACAAAAAATCGAATGTAATGATTCCACATTTTTGTTAAATAATATCAAATTTAGTTAATTGCTTCTTTCAAAAACTGAGATTTGCAAATTTGTTTTGTAGTTATATTCAAGGTGTATGATTCAGATGGCAATGGGAAAGTTAACTTTAATGACATGTTGGATGTTTTGCATGATTTGACTGGCCAATTCATATCTGAAAAGCAGAGTAAGGTTAGTATAGTTCTTGATTGATTTTTCTTTCAATGTTTATCTTTTTTAATTAACTGGACGAATACTTTTTCTTTTTTGCGTCATTGTGTGTCACTCTATTGCTCTTTTAGTCGGAAAATATCATAAGCTTCTGTTTCTAAGAATAAGTTTTGAGATAATTATCTTTTTAAAACAAATGATCAGCTAAAGTATCGTGCCTTTTTACTAGCTCCTCACATTAACCACTCACCAAACAAATCAATGTTGAAGAAAGGACGATGTAGATGGAGAAAACGGGTCACAATCTCAGAAGCACTTAAAATTCATTGTTCTCTTTGTGATTTAATTTATTGTAAAGAGATATGCTGTTACAGGTCTGCAAAAGTTTTTTTCTTGGATTATTAGTGATGGGACTGACAGATATGAATGTTTCTTTAGCCCATTGTTTCATTTGTTATTAGAAACGTCTCCTTTTACTAACTGCAAAGTATTTTTATTATGCCGAGAGGCGAGATACAAATTCTGTATGCAGTGTTGTGGATTAAAATCTTTTTGTTACTAGAAATTAGAATATTTAGATCTGGTTGCTTTACACTCAATTTGCATTTTGTATTTGGCTATTGGCACAGCAAGTTTTGACTCAAGTTCTTGAGGAAGCAGGTTACACTAAGGAGTCCCTGTTAGTTCTGTCAGACTTTGTAAAGGTAACATTGACTTTATATGTGATATTTTTGGTGTTTCAGCACTTGAATAGTTTCATACTTTCATTTTGTTTTAACTTAACAAGGCTAATAATGTGATATCAAGGCAAAAGGAGTTGTTTCAAAATCTATTATATGCGTAGTAGATGGTTAACTTGAAGAATTTATTGCTTGAAATTTTACCCTTTAATAGTACTATCTAATTTTCCGGTTTATTTTCTTTCAATGTTCAAACTGCCGGCATTGGTTTACACTAAATTGAATAGCATTTTCTCGAGATTTCTTTGGGGTTGCTCGCTAGACAGAAAAGGGATCCATTGGGTAAAATGGTTGGATGTCTGTAAGCCGATTGTTTGGGGAGGTCTCGGTATTAGTGATCTAAGGATTAAGAATTATGGTCTGCTCGGGAAATGGTGCTGGCTTTTTGGTTGGGAAGACTCCTCTCTTTGGAAACGCACTGTGGCAGCAAAGTATAACTTAGATCCGGGTGATATCTGTCCTCCTAACCCGAGGGATAGTGGTGTGTCCTGGATATGGCGTGATATTCTAAAGACTTTTGACTTAAAGATTGGGGAGCAAAGCTTAAGAGATTATTGTATAATTAAAGTAGGCGATGGGAAGAGAGTAAAGTTCTGGCAAGACCTTTGGATTGGTAACCGCCTGCTTATGACCGCTTTCCCTAGGATGTTTGCTCTTGCTGTGAATAAGGAAGGGACAGTGGTGGACTTCGGAACCAAAACAAATTCTGGTTGGGTCTGGGATATCCAGTTTAGAAGGAATGTTTTTGGCTGGGAGAGAGAGTAGTACGAGGAGCTATTTCGTTTACTGGTGGAGTTTGACAGCCCTGGTTCTGGTTTTGACAAGTTTAAGTGGAAGGGGACATCAGATGGGAGTTACACGGCAAAGGCTACAGAGGCTCTGCAATTTCCATCGAGAAGAGCAGATTTCTACTGGAAGGCGCTGATCTGGCTAGGTGAAGCTACAGGAAGAGGGGACTTTTTTTCAAGAATGGGACTTGCTGGTTGTTTCGAGGAAGGAGCTGTGGAATTTGCATAGGAAGGAGGAGAGCATTTGGTTACAGAGGTCAAGAGTGAAATGGAGTATTGAGGGGGATAGAAACACAAAGTTTTTTCACATGTGTGCTTTGAATAGGAATAGGTATAACACTATTTCTTCATTGAAGGTAGCAGAGGATTTTATTTCAGACCGGATCAGTTGAGAGGCTTTGTTTTTGATTATTTCAAGGACAATTTTAACTCGGTAACAACCCTAGAGGTGGACAAAATTGATTTGAATTTTGCTAAATTGACAGATGAACAAAAGAAGCTTCTTGAAGTTAGATTCTCAGAACAGGAAGTATGGGAGGCAGTTTTCCACTCGGATAGTGCCAAAGCACCGGGGCCAGATGGTTTCACCATGGGTTTCTTTAAGAATTTTTGGCCATCTCTGAAGCCATATATTATGAAATTTGTAGAAGACTTTTATAATGGAAGGAACTGGGAGCATGGGGTCAATCATTCATTCCTAACGTTGATTCCAAAGATCAGAAATCCTGAAGGTATAGAAGATTACAGACCGATAAGCTTAGTTGGCAGTCTGTATAAAATAATTTCCAAAGTCCTAGTTAGAAGGCTTGCGGCTGTTATTAATGTTCTGGTTAGTCCGTCTCAGTTCGCCTTCATTCCCGGAAGACAGCTACTGGACTGTGCTTTTTTGGCTAATGAAGTCATTGATGATTGGAGGAAAAAAGGGAGGAAAGGTGTTGTATTCAAGGTGGACTTCCGAAGGGCTTATGATTTGGTGGAATGGCCGATCTTGTTGAGACTTCTGAGAATTATGGGTTTTGGAAATAGGTGGATTTCTTGGATTGATTTGTGCATCTCCTCTGCTTCAATTTCTGTTCTTGTTAATGGTTCTCCGACTAATGAATTCAAGATGGGGAAAGGGTTGAGACAAGGCTGTAGTTTGTCTCCTATGCTGTTCAATATTGTTGGGGAATTACTGAATCTAATGTTGATTAAGGCTGCTGATTGTGCTCTGTTTGAAGGGTTTAGTGTTGGTAGGGCGGAAAATAAGTATCATTTGACGCATCTACAATTCGCAGATGACTTAATACTTTTCTGCAGGGACTCTTCTGCCCAAATTATGAATATTAGGAGAGTCTTGAGGGTCTTTGGTTTAATGTCAGGCCTTCAACTTAATTTATCTAAGAGCAAGTTATTTGGAATTAATATGGATGAGGAGGTTATAAAGGAATGAGCAACGATCGCAGGTTGTGGTGTGGGGGCTCTTCCTATGACATATCTTGGTTTACCGATAGGTACTTACAGAAACTCAGATCTGTTGTGGGAACCAGTTCTGCAGAAGTTCAATAGCAAATTAGAGGGCTGGAAAGCAATATCATTATCGATGGCAGGGAGATTAGTATTAGTGAAGTCTGTTTTGTCGTCCTTGCCAATTTTCTTCCTCTCTATTTTCAAAATCCCTCTAAAGACTAACCAAAAGTTGAATTCTCTTATGGCTAAATTCCTTTGGGGGGACGATCCCTTGAAGAAGCGGATTCATTGGGTGAATTGGAAAATTGTGTGTCAACCGTATGAGGAGGGTGGTTTGGGTGTCCTGGATTTGTCGATGGCGGATAGAGTGCTTCTGGGGAAGTGGGTTTGGAAGTTTGCTAATGATAAACATTCTCAGTGGAAGAAGATGATCTGTTGCAAGCACAATATTAGCAATTTGTCTCTTGCAATTAATAAGGCTGTTAACCCGCAAGATTCATGGATATGGAGGGGAATTGTGAATAATTATGAGAAAAAGGACGATATTGGAAATTGTTTGAGGTCCAATTCCAAGATCCAAGTGGGGAATGTTAGATCAATCGAATTCTGGAATGACATTTGGACAAATAATTTCACCTTAAAAGAACAATTTCCTAGGATTTATGCTTTATCGATTAACAAAACGAGGAAAGTTGTGGACTTTGGCTGTTATGATAATAATTGTTGGAGTTGGAATATTTGTCTGAGGAGAAATTTATGCGATTGGGAATTGGATCAATGGATATCTCTAATGACTTTGATTGATAATATTGTTTTGATTGATACTGTTGATGATTTTCTAACTTGGTCAGGGAGTGGAGATGGTTTGTTCAAAGTTAAGGCCTATAGATCAGCTCTTATTCGTAGCTCTGGAGGAAATTTTCAGTGGAAGAAATGGGTTTGGTCTGGATTGGCTCCCCCAAAAGTTGAAACATTTTTATGGCAATTATCTCATCAAAAATTAGCTGTTAGAGTGGAATTGAAGAAAAGAGGTGTTCCTTTGGAAGAGTTATTATGTCCTCTATGCCAAAAGGAGGAAGAAACAATTCCCCATTTATTTATGTTTTGTACTGTTGCTTGGGAGTTGTGGAACTTGTTCATCAATTTATGGGAGGTTAATACTGTTCTGCCCAAAGATCCCCCGTCTCTACTTAGTTCATGGTCTGTTTTGAAGGCTTCTTCTCCTATTTGGAATTTCATCCAAGGTGTTGTTATGTGGTCGATTTGGAAGGCTAGGAACTTAGTGGTGTTTGAAAAATGGAATTTTGAGAGATCTACACTGTTCTTCATTTGCAGATTCAGGCTGGCCAAATGGTTTCTAGCTAAATTTCCTAAAGCTAACATCCAAGTAGATTTATTAATAGGAGATCCAAGGCTTGCAGATGGTTTAGCAGTTAATTTGCACAAGAAGAAAAAGGATCTGTGCTGGTATCCACCTCCACCTGATTTTTATAAATTCAATGTGGATGGGGCTGTTAGAAGTGATGGTTTGCAGGGTGGAATTGGAGGTCTGTTGAGAGATTCGAATGGCTCTATCGTGATCTATTTCTCTAAGCCTATCGGACCTGGTCCTCCTCTGTTTGCTGAGTTGAAAGCCATTAAAGAAGGAATTGATCTATTTCTACATTCGGATTGGGCGTTGAAGGGAAGACTTATTCTCGAAAGTGATTGTAAAACTGCAGTTGATTGGATTTTCAGGCCTTCTGAGGCCCCTTCGTTCTTCAGTTCTTTGGTTCGGGAAATTGGGGAGGTAATTTTTGGTAGGGATATTATGGTTAGGCTGATTCCTAGGGCTTGTAATTGGGAGGCAGACAAGTTAGCTAAGGAGGGGATAGGTTGAATGTCCTTAGTGTTAGTGGTTATGTTTGGTATTTTATTTCGGGTGATGATGTAAATTATAGTTGTATGTAATTTTGGTTTATTAATATATTGAGGTACTCTTTTCCTCCTTCCGCTAGTTGCCTCTTCTCAAGAGGCAACTATGAGGGAAGTTTTTAATGAGACCTCCTATTCCTATCAAAAAAAAAGTTGAGGCATTTGTCTGGAGGGTTCTCTTCCTCAGGTTCCTGTCCGTTCCGAACTTGTGAAACGTGGAATAGTGTCGGCGGCAGAAAGTTGCTGTCCCATGTGCTTGGACGGTGAGGAATCAGTATTACATTTATTATTCTCGTGTAATGTTGCATGGAGAGTTTGGGCAGCCTTCCTTGGAATCTGGGGAATTTCTACTGCATTGCCTGATGATCCTAAATTATTTTTGTCAATGTGGAAGGAGCTTCTCTTTACTGTTTCTAAGTGCAAAACCGTTTGGGGTATCATCCCTCTAGCAGTGATTTGGTCGTTATGGCTTTATAGAAATGAGTTGGTATTTAACGTGAAGAAGTTGGATGTGAAACAGGTGTTCTTCTCTGTCAAGGTGAGAGTGGTTTGTTGGTTGGAAGAAAAGTTCCAAGGGGCCACTTTCAGGAAAGAGGATTTGATCGTGGACTTATCCGTGCTTCAGATGAGATTTTTTGAAAGAAGACTGAATTGGTGGCATCTTCCTGGAGCCCTCCTCCTCCGGGTTCCTTAAAATTTAATGTAGATGGGGCTATGAGATCGAACGGAGGGGCGAGGGGAATCGGGGGTTGTAGAAATCAGAGTAATTCGTAATTTCTTATTCTTTTCAATAGGACAAATTACATATTTATA